GGCCTCCAGCTGTGGTCAACCCACCACAAGAGAAGAAAGCGTTTGTAGCAGATGGATGGTTTATTAGACTTTGTTTGAATCAAGTGGACCTCATCTTTAAATAAACATGATGGCCTCGCTATTAATTATCCCAGTCATTGCTTATAGCTAACTGTTTCCAAAAACGCCAAAATTCAGCCAGGCGCCGTGCACTGAAGCAGGACATGTGTCTGTAAAAGCTAGATCAAAAGCACATGTGTTTAAATTTGCATAGTTGTCCACGAGGAAAATTGATGTTGCTTACCCAGCGTCCACTTGCTGACTCAGAAATGCATAGTTTCAGTCTACTACCAATTTTATTCATAAAAAAAGCATTATTTTCAGTGGCATTGGGTGTAGACTGCCCCTTGAATCAAGCAGGTTTCCTTCCAAAGGAAGGAGTATCTGAAGCATCCATTGTCCTGCAGTCTTGTCTCCTGATGAGCTAAAAGGTTACTATGCTTTGTCAATTATATTCTGATGATATGTTGCTATGGATAAATACATTTTTTATTTTAATGGAAAGTACTTAAAAGTTGCATTGCTCCATTGAGAAAAGCAGCAATATACCCCTTCAGAAAAAGCACGGTGGCTTGGGAAAGCCTGGCCTGCTGAGCTGTTCCATTAAGGGTTTGCTTGAGATCTTTTTCTTTTTTTTTTTTACCCATTTTTCTATGGTGATGGCAAAAGAAGCTGGAAGGAGATTACGTCGTTTTTTGTTTTTTTTTCGTTTTTTTAAACCAGAAATTTTCAGTTTCTTGCTTCAGTATACCTCAGCATCTTAGTTCCTTCCTTACTGGTGGTATTTGAATTGCTATTTTTGGATGGTTCTAATATTACAATCTGAGTTGTAAGTAGCATTGGACAACAGCAACATCTACCTCTAGCAGTCTTTTAGGGAGGATTGCGAGTTTGAAGGCAATTTGGCTTTAGCTGTAACCTCAGTAGGTTCATAACAGTCTTGCAACAGCACTTCTGCTGTCCCGCAGGCTTGAGTTCCTGTGGTGCATGTTTTTTAAATCTGTTTTTTATCCTGTTTTTTATTCTTTTTTTTTAAATCCAAAAAACAGAAGCTGGGACACGTCTGTTCATGGTCCAAACTGAATTTAGTTTCCGGTCCATAGTATTTAGGAACTTTTAGGGAATCTCTTAGTGTTTCATGGACAAGAAACTCACTTTCTTGGGAAAATAATGTTAGTGGGAGCGTAAATATAGGAGATGTGCCTCTTCCCCAGCCTTCACAGTACAGAGGGTGATTTTTAGTGCTGCGGTCATCTTAGTGGCTGGGCAGCTTCCAGTACTGGACCTGCATCCTGATACTTTTTCTTTGTTTTAGATGGTAGACTATGCTTCCGTCCGTCACACACCATCCAGCTACATAATTAAATATGTGACCAAGTCCTTCCTGCCATCTCACTTGGGAGTACAGGTCCCTAGTTTTAACCAGACGGACTCTTCTGAACTGGGAAACCCAAACCAGCATCACCCTAATGTTTAGAATATAGCTGTGCATTAGAGCACTGTTGGCATCTCACAGATGAAAATCCACTGCCTAAATACATGCAGTTATCTTTTGCTTCTGTCCCCCATGAAGATGTCAAAATTAATGGAGTTAGCTTTGATGCTCCACAATGAAGTTGGTGTTACATGTGGAAATTGTAGTCTCTTGGTAGAATCACATAAAATTAACAGCTTCTTGTTATTAGAAGTGTGTGTAGTGTAGGCGGGAAACCAGCCATATTCAGACATGGAAAATAAAAGTGTTCTATAACCTGGACCTTTTTTTGCGTTTTAGCTACAAACCCATGATGTCTATGTTAGAAGGCAGGTTGCTGTGGCCTCCCTCTTTGGTCAGCGGAGGGTGACTGGTACAACCAGAGGAGGCTTGGCCTCTAAGGTCTGAACTGTTGGCTTACCGGACAGAATTGAGCAGGGCAAAATGCTTTGGAGATTGGTTTTGGCTTTTTGTCAAGTTCAGTAAGGCTTTGGAAAGATCCAGCTGGATTTCTTTGTATTAGTAAATGAGGAACCATGCCAAAATGGCTAGGTCAGATTTGACTTCTCAGGAAGACAAAGGCTGTTATGGCATCTACAGAAGGAATGAATTCATTCTGCAAATGAACATGTGGTGCTAACTCATCCTAAACTCTAGGATGTGCTGGCTGGGAAACATGATCTCTTTAGTAAGAGGGTGGCTGTCTGACTGCCCACAGCCATTTCAGGGATAACACCATGTTTGCAAACGTCTTGGCTGGCTGGGCAAGTCCAGATGAGGTGACGGATTGCAGCCACCCACTGTGCGGCTGAAGTAGGGCAAGAACAGCATGGTTTGGTTGTTGTGATGTATGCACGGTAATGAGTATTTTGACTTTGTATTCACTAGATTTACTTGGCTCATTCCAAGTCTCTTCAGTATCTTGATCCTACTGCTACACCAGAAACTTCATCTCCTCCCCTGTTCAACAGTGTACATGCCTCTGGCATTTGAATGGGAAGCTTTCTCTTAGTGCTGTCTAAGGGAATATTTTCCCTGAATTTGAGATGCAGCTTTTGTTCCTTGTAAGAACAGATGCGCTTAAGTCAAACATGGAAAATGGTTTCAGAAAGGGGCCTGTTTTGAAGACAGGACTCTCTAAAGTAATTTCATCTCTATTTTTGGTATCTTCAAGTTGGAACTACCTTTGGAAGAGCTGTTTTAGAAATGTCCATAACATTCAGTTCACGGAGTTGCAGAAGACATTTTGAGGCATGTGGAAACAAGTCTTTAGAAACCAGCTGGTGAATGGGAGAAAAAAAATCTGTCCTATTTCAGCTCTTTGGTCAGTAGATTTGAGGTAGAAATTAATGCATCTAAATACTAGTCACTCCCCACCCTACCTTTTTGGTTGTTTGTTGTCTGGACTGTGGCAACCACTTCCTTGCTTCTGAGCTTGTGCTGCTTAAAATGCTGCTGCAAAAGATACTTCTTCCTCCACAGCTTTAGTCATGCTTTGCTCCTTCGTACTCTTTTGAATTCAGAACAAGGCTCTGGTCCTCTCCTTCAACTTCTTTCTGCCTCCCACCTAATCTTCTATTCCTGTTTGCCCATGTATTTGCAGCTTCAGCTGAGGTGTCTTCTGTTCTTCTCCATTTCTTCCATGGAGCATCCCACCTTCGTAATAGTCTCTCTTGCCATGTCTTGATTAGTTTATCCTTCTTTGTGTATGACTATTGTTTAGTTTGGTCAAAATAGCGCTCTTGGCAAAGTCGTTTCTCCTGGTCTGGGTCCTAGTCTCACTGATCCTGCCGTGGTGTTCCATGGTATGGTCATCAGGATGTGTTTCTTATGGTCAGTAGAAGACTAGTGATTATTTTGTCAGGATGAGGTTTTTGTTATGTTGATCATTTGCAAAGTGTCATGTATTTATGGCATGATATAGATAATGGAAGCTACTGAAAGCTTTTGAAGGACAAAGCTGTGTGTGATGGCACAGCTTGTCTGAAGTCATAGAGCAGTTACCCAGCCATGTATCTGCGACCACTCCACAGTTTGTGTCTGTGCTCCTAGCTGTCTTCTCCTGACAAGCTGAACAAGTTTCCATGAAGAGAGTGTCAATCAAGAGCTCTAAATTCAATGGCTATACTTACATGGTCAGAATTTGCTGGGTATATTTTAATGTTCCCTACAGCTGGTCATCTTTTTCCTTCTGCTGTTTGCCCCGAGGGTTTTGGGGAACCTGTTTTCTGAGGGTTGATGTGCTAATTCTTCTAATGTGATTTGAAAATTATCTTGAGGATGTGCTGTTCCTTTTCCATAAATGTGTGGTAGACACACTGAAAATATGTGTGCCTCTTGTCTTGTTCCTTTTGCAAAGATTTATGTTCATGGTGTGTGGTCCAGTGCCCTGCTAACCGCATAAGCTGCTACTTTACTCAGTGGTTTACCACTAGATGCATTAAATAAATATGCTTTATGTAGTATTTGTGCTTGGGTTGTAATGATTTTGCCTGCTTCCGGACTCTAAACAAATAATGCAACAAAAGTGGTCTCCAGAACGCAACTTGCTGCCAGTAAACTTCTGTACTGATATCCTTGTTTGTGGCCTGAGCTATTGATGTTGGAGTAGAGAGAAGTTGTCTATTGCCCTTGAGCATCTTCCCTGAAAGCTAGATCTTGAAGTGGCAAAAATAAGTTCCAACTTTGATCAGACCTCTTAATGTGTAGTGGGTGAGAGGCATGTAATCTCAGGGCTTACAAGGTCCTTAAAGATCTTTCCTTCAGCATGTGCTATGCCATGTTGTTTGGAAGTATGGATTTTTCAAAACTCTTAAACTTCAAGTTCCTCTTCTGACTCCTGGTGCAGTCGTTATTTCCCTCTCGTAGAAGACCGCTGCCACTGGGGGAGGTAATCTCCGCTCCCTTTTGGTCACAGCCAGCTCACCTAGCTGGCTCGGAAGCCTTTGGCTTCCCTCCCTTAATGATGCGTCAATGTCAGTAACCCCTTCCTGTGATTTTTGTCTCCTCTGACAGTAGCTATTGATGGAAGAACACGGGGTGACGCAAACAGAGCACATGGCCACCATCGAGGCCCACGCAGTGGCCCAGCAGGTGCAGCAGGTCCATGTGGCCACCTACACAGAGCACAGCATGCTGAGTGCAGATGAAGACTCGCCGTCTTCGCCGGAGGACACCTCCTATGATGACTCTGACATCCTCAACTCCACGGCTGCCGACGAGGTCACTGCCCATCTGGCTGCAGCAGGTAAAGTCAGTGGGATGCTCAATGTTCTCCTGATGTGTAGCATTCGTGCAGAGGTTGCAAAGAGTGCTTGAGGGCAGCCAGTGATCTTTTCACTCCACAGGATGCTCTGAATGCTTCCTTATTGCCCTGGCTTTAATAGCACTTCTTCACAAGGTCTGCTGGCTGCTTGAATCTTGCATCATTTTACCTGTGTGTAATATGGAGGTGCTGGGAATAAGAGACTGGTTTGTACAACAAAAAAGGTCCCTGGTAAATGCTGCCTCAAATAATGAAACTAAAATACCGAATATGTCAAAGAGCAAGCTTATTTCAGGCTCATATAAACAAGAGCAAAAATAACCCAGGAGTGCTACACAACCCTGCTTAGCCAGGGAGCTCACATGCTAGGCCTCTCCCAAGGAGATGCCACAAGGGGTCCTGGCATATCTGGACTGGGAAAGTATTTCAAAATCACAAATTCCTTCCAGTGAAGCCACTGCCAAATGTCCTGCAGATTTGTCGTGTAGTGGATCTACCTCATTAGTAGAAAACTGCAGTGATGAATAAACACTGAGACTGGTCTCGCGCCATATCAGACTTGATCTGATGAATAAAGTTCTTGATGTGCTTGACTGAACCTGTGAAGTTCCACCACCCCACTGAGCATCCCATGCTCTTTGCTTATTAATTTTCCAACCCCAGCTCCTGCAGGACTTTTTCTTTCCTCCTTCCCTTCTAGCACACAAGCTTGTCAGGCGTGGGTGGTGGTCACAGGAGGCAGGCACCCTCCTGGTGCAAGGGCTGCCTGGTGCCCCTCCAGCCCCTGGCGAGCCAGGTGCCCCAAGCTTCCCCGGGGCAGGCGGCTGCAGTTCATGGCATGGGCTGGCACATCCAACCCAAAACTTGCCTGATAGCCCAGCGTAGCCCTTCCTCGCTTCTCCAGAGCAAATGTTTTTCCAGTCCCCCCACCAGTTCACAGAATCACTAAGGTTGGAAAGGACCTCCAAGATCATCAAGCCCAGTTGTTAACTTAATGCCACCATGTTCCCTAAACCATGTCCCGAAGTGCCACATCCACATGTTTTCTGAACACTTCCAGAGATGGTGACTCCACCACCTCCCTGGGCAGCCTGTTCCAATGCCTGACCACCCTCTCAGTGAAGAAATTTTTCCTAATATCCAATCTAAACCTGCCCTGGCACAACTTGAGCCCATTTCCTCTCGCCCTGTCACTGGTTACTTGGGAGAAGAGACCAACCCTCACCTCACCACAACCCCCTTTCAGATAGTTGTGGAGAGCGATGAGGGCTCCCCTCAGCCTCCTCTTCTCCAGACTGAACACCCCCAGTTCCCTCAGCCGCTCCTCATCAGACTTGTGCTCCAGACCCCTCCCCAGCTCCATTGCCCTTCTCTGGACACGCTCCAGCACCTCAACATCCTTCTTGTAGTGAGGGGCCCAAAACTGAACACAGGATTCGAGGTGCGGCCTCACCAGTGCCGAGTACAGGGGCACGATCCCTGCCCGGCTCCTGCTGGCCGTACTATTGCTGATCCAGGCCAGGACGCTGCTGGCCGCCTTGGCCACCTGGGCACACTGCCGGCTCATGTTCAGCCGGCTGTCAACCAGCACGCTCAGGTCCTTTTCCGCCGGGCAGCTCTCCAGCCACTCCTCCCCAAGCCTGGAGCGTTGCACGGGGTTGTTGTGACCCAAGTGCAGGACCCGGCACTTGGCCTTATTATACAGTTCTTTTTACACAAGCACAGGATCGTTGGAGCAGTATGCAGCGGTGCTTGCTGCGCCCGCCATGGGTAGCGCTCAGGTAGTTCATTACAGATTAACAAAACCTGGCTCTGCAAGTGTCACTCAGGGTCACTCTGTCCCTTACAGCGTCGCATCTCCCATAGCAGCTGCCTAGGGAAAACATATCATCGCATGCTACTTTTGTTATTGTCTACCAGCTTCCACTGATCGGTAGCTTGGGACTTCCCAATCCAGTAGCTGCATCTTTGTTAAAGACAAAAATACAGTGCTTTTATGACCCCTGATGTAATCTTTCACTTCTGACACATGGAGAAACGACACACACGGCAACTGAGGTCTCTGCTCAGGAGTCAAAGGCAAGTCCTTGAGCCTGCATTAGGCCCCAGGGCTTTTTTACTCTGACCCTGCGCTCATTTCTGGACATCACCAATAGAAGCACAATCCACTGCATGTTACTTGATTTACTTCCAATTAACTTAATGAAACTGCCCTTTACATAGATTATGTCTAGCATTTAATCACAAAAGCAATAGTGCTGCCGTGCCACGGTCCCCTGTGTTCTTCCTGGGCTGTTGTAGGATGCTGCCCGTAACTCTGGATTTTCAATTTCTTTCCCATTAAAACTGGTCCTTAATCCCTGGGGAAGGCTTCGGACTCCTGATGCTGTAGTTGAGGCATCCAAGCAGGATTGTACCTTGTGTCTTCTCCCCTGCCAGAGGGATCTCCTCAACTGCAGTCAGTTATTGAAAGTTTTGGCATACTTGAGAGTTTTTCAGTATATTTGGAAGATAAAATACGTAGTTATGTGATTGTAGGAAGAACTCTGGACTGAAATATGTGACTTTCACCTGGGACTGATCTGGGATTTGCCTTTTGATACACGTCTCCGATGCTGGAGAGGAACGATCCTGGTTGCGGGAGAGCTCAGTGGGGAACTGGGGTCACCCTGGTCCAGTGGGGAGGCCCTTGAGCTGAGCCCTTGGGACCCTCCCTGGGGAGAGGCAATGGCAATGTCCTTTCTGGCCAGTTCCTGAGCTGTGTGTGCTGATTCACCCTTTGTGGTTTAATTTCCAGGCCCTGTGGGGATGGCAGCAGCTGCTGCTGTGGCAACGGGTAAAAAACGAAAGCGACCACACGTTTTTGAATCCAACCCGTCAATCCGCAAGAGGCAGCAGACGCGTTTGCTACGGTAAGGAGTCTCGCCTGCACTCTGACACCTTGGTCTGCATCCTCAATCTGTCTCCGGTGCCGTGTGGGGTGAGACCATGTACTGTGCAGAAGTTGCCCAGTTTGGGGATTTTTTGGGCATCTTTTCTGAACACAAGAGCTGTGTTTTAATTTGCAGAAATAGGTTAAATTGCAACTCTCCTGATATTATGATCACCAGGACTGACGTGACCATTCTGGTGGAATCCACCATTCTGTTCTAACTGCAGCTCATGGTAACATTGCCTTGCAAGATACTTGTAGTGGCTTTAACAGCGGCTGGCCTGAGAATTAGGAGCCACAGCCATATCCCGGCTCTGCAGTGGCACGAGGACTTCTCTACCTAATGAAAAAAGTCTTTTCTGCATTATGAAATGATCCTGTGAATAAATCTAGTGTGTGTGACCTGAGTCTCCTTTGCCAGCAGACCCTGTTGTGTGAGCTCCACGCTGAAGACTGGCCCAGCCTCTAGTACTTTCCCCTAGTGTTGGGGGAAAATAATCGAGGGGAGATGCCTGCCAGAGCTGAAACACTTTCTTTGGCTTTAGAAACTTGCTCTGTAGACACCAAACTTCCGTAGCCCTTCAGGTGTTGCACTACAGGTGCTCTGAGGCTGTCTGCCCGCCTGATGGCCACCTAGGAGCATTGGTGCTGAAGTGACTGCACAGGCTTTCTGCAAGCCTGGAGATATCACCTGCAATTCCATCTTCAAGAAACATTTGTAAATATTGGCTGGTACTATTTACTAGGTTTTGGAACAAAGCAGTTTTTGCTTTTTAAACTGTTTTGGTTTTAATCGGGTTATCTTACAAGAGCTGGAGCATTTGTCACGTCGTTTCTTCAGAGTTTCCTCCTGCGTGCACACTTAATGCACTGGAACAGCAATGGCCAGAGTTCTGCCTTTTCTCCTTCTATTCTAACTCTTGTAAAGATGGTGAGAAATTAAGTTGGTTTCTTTACATTCTGCTTATCCATCTGCTGAGTGCCACAACATCCTTTGCACAGGATCAAGCTGGAACAAAGTGAAGCAGTGTTAAATAATACTCCCTGGGAGTGGAGTCCCTTTTTTTTTATAGCCCCATTCTGTTTTTCCCTCCTTCCCCCAACTGCTGACCCAGCCGTCTTTATGAAGAGCAAATTCTTTTCTCTCTCGAAATGTGAACAATGTATATTGAAACTCCTGTTTAAAGGAATCATTTCTTCTCTTTTCATGCAACTGCTTAATTTTGGCACATGCAAGTTACTGACAAAATGCATCATTTTTTTTGCACTCTGATCAATTTGACATGTTTGTGCTTGATATTTACACCACTGTGAATCGAGTAGGAAGTTACAGTTCCTGATTCTGGGATCTCTGCCTAGCTGGTGGTGGTGTTAGTGCTTTGGGGCAATGTGTCTGCTGCTAACAGCAGGTTCTGAAATGACCAAGGCAGATACTAAACTGTCACCGTATGGAGTGCTCAGGTTATCTGGTGATATGTGCTAGTCCTCTCTTGTTTTATGAGTTTATGCCAACATTTCTGACCCATTGTCTTGCATTGCTTAGAAGTGAGTAAGAGCCGTAAAGTATATAATGGAACATTTTTTTCCTGCAGAGAGACTGTTCCAAAGGGACTTGCTGATGTGGCAGGTGTCTGAATACCTGGGTTTCCTGTGCTGAGCTGTTGCAATATTTCTGGTTCTTGCCTGTCCTATAGTTGTATGTTGAATTCTTATAGTTCTGGTTTGAGCAGGATTTTAGTACTAGAGAATTGCAATGCAGTGTTATGAGGCTGGATGTAAAATAACCTGTGTCTGCAGTCTTCTTTTGTTGAACCATTCAAATTCTTTACCTTGCAAGTTTTGTATTGCTAATACACTTAGGTGGTGACAGGGCAGATATGCAGACCCTTGCTGTGTTATCTTTGCTGCTCTGGTGATTTCTCTTTACTTTTTACATCAATGGAAAAAGGAGAGAAGGGAGAATAATTGATATTTGAGCTGCCGAGTGACTGTAGGGACCGCAGCAGGCCTGCGGGAGCAGAGGAAGAAGCAGTATATGCGGTTAATCTGACCAGCTGGGACGCCGTTTTTCACCTGGTTTGCAAATAGGTAGCATTAAGAAAGGGACTTGACAATGCAAAGGGTTGTGTTTCTACAGGGCTTTCAGCCATTACCTATTCACTGTGTTATATCTCTGTTTCAGGAAGCTGCGAGCCACACTGGATGAGTACACCACCAGAGTGGGGCAGCAGGCCATTGTGCTCTGCATCTCACCCTCCAAACCCAATCCTGTCTTTAAAGTATTTGGTGCTGCACCCTTGGAGAATGTGGTAGGTGTCTGTAGGAAAAGCTATGTAATGAATTGCTCACCTTCTCTGCAGGTTTCATTCTGCTCAAGGCAGCCTTGCAAGCCTGGAGGCGGTCTGAAGGTCATGTTTAAAGCCCTGTAAATGGGAGTTGAGAGTGTATGGACATGAGAGTACAGCACTGAGGTCCTGTCTTCTCTGCATGAATGGTTGCCTAGCACATCTCACCAGGGTTGAATATCCTGGATTAAAAATCGGAGGGAGCAGGTAGTGATGATGTGTTTGAACTCAGCTAGGCTGTCGATGCTTGCACCTTGCTGCAGACCAGAGAGTAAATGGAGCAGATCCTGACCATGGTCAGGATCATAAATCTTGCTTCAGAACTTTTCTTTTAATCCTATAAATACTTCCACTTGCCAGTGTTACTTGAAGTTTCATCATCAGCTCTTCAATGTGGCCAAGTCTTCGGGGCCAGTGGGTATTTTTTCTTGCCAGCTGTGGCACTGTTTGCTGCTCCTGTTCTGCAGCACCTTGGGGAAGGTGGCTGGCCCTGCGTCCTTGCACTCACCTCTCCTGGTGCTCCTTACCTTGTTTACCTGAGCTTAACAATTCCCCACAGGTACGCAAGTACAAGAGCATGATTCTGGAAGACCTGGAGTCTGCACTAGCAGAGCATGCTCCTGCGCCTCAGGAGGTTAACTCAGAGTTGCCGCCCCTCACCATCGATGGCATTCCGGTCTCGGTGGACAAGATGACCCAGGTAAGCAGCCCGACATGGCAGAAACAGAGAGAGAGACTGGGCATCTTGCAGTCATATCCTGTTATTTTGCACTGCAGCTTATGTCTACACCTCCAGGGGATGTATTTGATCTTTTCTTTCCCACGGGACTGTAACAGCTCAGATAGTATTAAATGTGCTGCATTGTTAGTGGTGCTTATTTTCTAGATGAAACAGTAGAGGTGCTGGTAAGGACTAGAGCTCAGGCTGCTGGGACCTTTCCCCTTTGAGCTGCTTTTGTCACCTCCCATAAGCTGTGAACAGGGGAGATACTTGTTCTGCACTTCAGAGCAGTTTTTAGGCACTGATTTCAGGAAGGTCACTTGTGAAATACTTTTTAGGCTTATCCTACTTGGACATTTCTTGTGTGCTCTAGTTTGTTCCCTCCTCTATTTTATGCTGTGGATTGGAGCAGAGGGCAGCTTGCTAATGCTTTAACTGCAGATGAGACCCTGAGAGAGAGACTTCTGATCTCGAGAACAGGGGATCATCTTCCCTAGGGGTGCAGGGGACTCCCTTTCTCTCCAGGTCCAGCCCTTTGCTGACCTTGGTATTGCTAGGAGAAAGAGCCCAGGGAAGCTTCC